GACTCCCCCCCCCCCCCCCCCCCCCCCCCCCCCCCCCCCCCCCCCCGCCCATGCCTGCAGAGCCGAGTCACAGATGGGGGTGGGGGAGTCCTCTGCAGGTGTAATTCATCACTGTGACTCCCCCTCCTCTCGGTAGTTTTGGGAGCTCAGTCAGGCTTTCGCACATCCGCATAGCCATGCAGTCAGGGAGAGAAAAAATAAGGTAAAAATATAAGAAACTGGTAGAATCTCCAGCAATTCAGCTCCCAGCTGAAAAGTGGCAGCCAGTCCACAGGCAGCTGTCCAGCACTGCGGAGACGATCCCAGGAACACAGGTCACAGCCGGCTGAGGGCTTTCGCTGGGTGGGTTAATCCCCAGCTTCGGTCTCTCCCTGGGGTCGGTTAATCCCCAGCTTCATGCTCTCTCTGGGGCAGGTTAATCCCCAGCTTCAGGGTCTACCTGGGCCTGGTTAGTCCCCAGTTTTGGTCATTCTCTGGGGCGGGTTAATCCCCAATTTCGGTCTCTCTCTTCGGCCGGTTAATCCCCAGCTTCGAGCTCTCTCTGCGATGGGTTAATCCCCAGTTTTGGTCTCTCACTGGGACAGATTAAACCCCAGCTTCGGGCTCTCTCTGTGGCCGGTTAATCCCCAGCTTCAGGCTCTCACTGCAGTGGGTTAATTGTCAGTTTTGGGCTCTCGCTGTGGTGGGTTAATCCCCAGCTTCGGGCTATCGCTGGGTCAGATTAAACCCCAGCTTCAGGGCTCTCTCTGTGACAGGTTAATCCCCAGCTTCAGATACATCAGGTTTGGGGAGGGGGGGTCTACCTATGTCCTGCTCTCTATTTTTATTGTCTAGTTTGCAATAATTTTTTGTTATTCTATTCTTATCTTTTAATACTATTTTGATTTTCTTTGTATTACATATTTACTTTCAAGCACAATGCAGGAAGCAGGTAGAAAAAACATTACGCTACACAGAATTACTGTTTGTGATTGTGTATGCGATAAATAAGCATCGGAACTGGTAACCTGAGGCCGGCAAAGCTCTTCTACTGGGAGGAAGGGGCAGTGAACTGTGAATCTGGAAGATTGGTGAACCAGGGGGAGGGGAATGAGCCTCAGATGCATACATGAAGCAAATAATTTTGATGCCTTTATGAATCTGTAAAACAGAAACTCAGAGCTGAGGCTTCCCCTTCTTACAGGCTGAATAGCCCCCCCCCAACCCCCTCCCCACTCAAAGACAGCTGCATGTCCTCAGCAGTAACTAAGACTCAAAGAAAGACTAAACAGCTTGACACATGTGCAGACAAATCACAATCAAGCAGGTGCAAGGAGAGCGGTATGTCATGACAGGAGACACCCCGGTAACATTTGATGAGTATAACTGACCCCGCCCCCCAGTGACAATCACCAGCTATGAGAGAGGGGTTTAAAAAAATTAAAAAAAACAGACCAATAAACCTCACAAGGAGAAACAGGTCACGTGTGATACACACACAGAGTTAGGGCCAAAAATCAATGTCACTGTTAGGGTAATGATTACAGCCGTTGCATCTGTCAATGAAACAATGGTGTGATACGGAACCTAATCCTATAACTAATTAGTAGCAAATTAATTAGAACAGGCATACCTGGTATCAGGGTTAGTGTGCTTTTATACGATGGCAGAAGATCCGGACATCATGGGGAGGGCCGACCTGCAGGAGGCACAAGATAAGGCCGTAGCTAGTGAGGCATTGTGGGTAAGAGAAGGTATCGCCCCCCCCTCTTCATCTCAGCCCCCCTTAGGGTAGTTGGATAGATAGCAGGGTGAGGGGGGGACAGAATCTCCTGCAACAGTCTGCTCACAGGATATGCCCATCTCAAGACAAAGGGAGTGGCTATATGGGGGGGGGGGGGCTTCCTTTCCACTCCAATTCACACAGAACCCGCTTCCTGGAAAGGCTCCCTCCCCATTAAATCACAGAGGTATACAAAGAATACAGACACACATGAACTGTAAAAGAAACTGAGATCCCGCGCTGGGGAAGCTGTCGGCGATGATGGATGGGCGCCGTGACGGCTGTCATTCTCACTGAGGCGGCCGCATCGAGCAGCTCTGGCAGAAACGCCGATCCCTGACAGAATTCGCCGCCGGTAAAGTCAGACGGTGTGACCCTGGATTCAAGGCTGTGGTGATTCAGGGAGACCCCAGATCAGCAGGAGGGGGAGGGGCCATACTAATGCATCACAGAAGGTACGGCCGAATCGGCCGAATCATTTACATATACAGGATATGAATATTAGTTCAGTTTTTTTGTCATTGATGCATGAAACGTGACTTCAACTTTAAGGAAGATAGATTTGAGCATAGATAGGTGGATGGATGGATGGATGGATGGGTGACTACACCTTTAAGAAAGATCCCAAACATCCCAAACAAAAAGAAAAGAACACTAAGAAACAGCAAGTTGTTTTGGTACAGTCCATTACCGTCGGATACGGCAGAAATCAAACACCTCGTTATGGCTGAGGAATGTGACACTGAAGATTCTCCTTGAGTTTGTCGCAGGTAATTTGGACTCAGACGTAACACTGCGATGCTGCCATTAGTTGGTGGCTTTCCCACAGACCTTGGCGTCCCACAACTGCGGCGGTATTTGCATGTGCGGCAATGACAGTCATCTCATGAATAATGCCACTTCTAATCATCACTGGATGGGAGAGCTGACACCCGGCACGGCATTTCAGGCCCACCCTCAGATCCGGGGAAGGGGGGGATGGGGTCGCACGTGAGAATCCCCACCAAACCTGGAACGGACGGCGACTACTTTCTCCCCCCCTAAAATGCGACGCCGGATGCCGCAGGTCTGATTAAGTAGGCTGGGGACAGCAGCTCGTTGCTCTGGATAGATGGGCTCACCTGGGGGGGTGTAGACAGGAAGTGAGGCCCCCTGTGGCAAGAGACGGAAGCATGACACCATGCCGAAGTTTTCCACCACCAGGTCTTGACGAGGTGCAAGGAAAAGCCAGCTGCGTCATCCGCCTGCGATCTGCACCCTGCAAAACTTACGTTCAGCACTGCGTACCCTTGACCCGCGATCGTGGGCGTGCCCAAGTGGCCAGAAAACAGCCAACACTGCAACACTAACAGTGTGTCCTCCCTGTCCTCTGCACCTTTTCCTTTCGGGGAGGTTTTGCGGAATCATCGGGATCAAACAGAGTCAACGGCATTGATGTCTTACTGACATGTTGGCTCTCCCTGAAGACAGGAGCCACGGTCAGTCATCAGTCACGAAATCAAATCATGTGACATAAGCCGGACAAATCTGTTTGTCAGAATCACAGTGGTACCTAATTCCAATTGCCTGCGCTTTCCCCCCCAAGTCACTTTCCCTTGCTTTATGTTCTGCTTCCGTATTCTCTGCTGCCCCACCGGGAAACCTGCACGTAAAAGCTAATTTAGCACAGATGTCGGAATTGTCCTCGGATATGATCCGAATCTGGAGATTCTAAATCGGAGGAGTCTGATAGAGTCCGAAGAGACTAATCTCAATCGGTTGGCCTTCCGGCGATTTACAGAAGAGCTACCGGCTCAGCTATCAAAACACCCGTCATGTCAAATAAATAGCGTGAAGGTGGGGGGGGGGGGTCCTGCTTCCCAGCATTGGAACTGTGTGATTGGAGACGTGAGCAACCTGATAAAGCCTGTGGCCTCCACTGCTACTCCTGTACATCAAGAAAGTAGGAGAGAGGAAGGGAGGTGATGAAAATTTAACAACCTGGTCTATGTCATGAAAAGCATGTAATGAGCAGCGTGACTAGCGATTCCCTCTTTGAGCGAAGGGCGGCAGCTAAGGAATTCTGGGAAGAGGACGCGAGTATCCCCTCCATTACCCAGCATTTCCTGAACGCACAGTGTAAACAAGGGCGTCTATGGGCAGCTTTACCTCCAGGGCATCACGTCGGGTAATGACAGTCGCTACTGGAGCTTGGGGTTAGGGTTAGGGGGGTTAGGGTTAGGGGGGAGAGAGAGGCAGCTGCCTGACACATGCTGGGAAAAGGGCTGGCCTCACGACACTGGGTTCAAAGGTCGCGGAGCCCCAAGTGACTGAGGACCAGCAAAGATTCGTCGACCTAGGCAGCCAAGAACCGCTAGCATGCCGCTATTTCAGCATTTACTCTGGCAATGTTGATTATTTTCGGGTCGTCCTGTGCTCTAGCTGTCCCTACACAGCCTGATACCTGACACTGCATGAACAGTGGTCCAAAACCTCATTAAAAACAATGCAGCTATTTCTAGGCTAGAGCAGCCACCCATCTTTATCGCACAGATATAAAATTACTAGACACACAATGGAATGAAAATGACCGATGCACACATGCAGTAAAAGGGATTGCGCTAATATACAAAGGACATGATAAACTAATTGGACTTAATTTGTCTAATTACAATGTCAGATTAGTCTAAATTAGAAGCAGCATCATTTGCAAAAGGATTAGCACGTATCTGTCAGCTGTGAATTCATTACAAGCGGGTAGAAGCTGTAAGGCACAGCAGATCGGACAGGCCCCAGGCGGC